TCATTTAAAAGTTAAAAGACATAGGTGTTTTCATCTAATCTGAAAGTTATACTAGACTGAAGGTACAACTTAATTGCATGGTTGCTACCTTGCAAAATTTAAAATTCATTCATACTAACGTATTTATTAAACTTCCTCTTTGGCTAGCAATGTTTCCTCTACAGAACTGATACTTTGGATCAATTTATGGCAGGTGGGTTATGTCCATGCATTTGCGGGGGGACTACTTTTGCAACGCCGGCCGCCGAAGGGTTTAGTGCCTGTGAATGGCATTGGTGCACCTTGTTTGACTATTGCATCTGCTTTATACAATATTGTGATTATCGTGCCTTTAGCGCCGCTTGGTTTTCTGTAAAGATGGTGTTGATTATTGGCTTAATACCGTATGATGTGTTGCCTTATTATTTCTTCTACACATTAGTGGATTACCGTTATTTCCACCTGGAAAATTGTGGCATCCTTAGATAGGCTTCCGTGGAAAGATATTCATTGTTTTGGCCCTACATTATACCAGCACCTGTGCCTTCCGACGTTCTTGAGCTGTCTGTATACCAGATTGGGCACACCTTTTATACAGTCTTCCCTTTCGGGTATATTTATGCTAAATTTGTTGTTAAAGCTATACCTTGTAGCTGTTGCATCTAGCGGTAAGCTCGATTAGCTCCTGGATTCAGTACTATGCGTCTGGCTCATGCCATCTGGCTTCGCCCTGTATGAAGATGTAAGTAGTGGTAAGTTCAATAAAGCTTCCATCGCATTTGTGGGAGTGGTTTTCATAGCCCCCATTACACACAGGCAAGGAAGCCTTTGTGTGGAACTTTAAAGCTCTATCGCTTCCACTTGAATGTCTTTGTCCACCCCATCCCCGACCCGTAGGTTATCATATGTCTTACAACCCTTGTATTTAACTATAGAGTCATTTTAAGGTTAAGTTTCCAGTTTTTTTCACACATCCTTCTGCACCTACCTAAAGAGATGGCAGTCTTCTGAGCCTTCTGTGTTGCCTTCACATTCCATGTAAACTTTTGATCAAAAAATACACCAAGATTTGTTTATTTGGAAAATAAAACCTCTGTTTCACCTGGCACCAGTGGTTCGTTGATTTTTTTTTGCTATCTTTTTTTAAATTTTTTGTAAAGTTGATATTTTTTTTTCCGAGCACTGTTTGTTAGTTTCTCTTGATTACACCACTTGTTTATTTTGTTTAGGGCTGTCTGCATTCTTCCTGATATTATCCCAGCAAGCTTACCCCTGACCAGTATTACAATATCGTCTGCATAGCCTAGACATAAAAATCTTGTGTGGAAAGTTTGTCGAGGAGGTCATCTACCAAGGTTGCCCAAAGTAGAAGAGGTAACACTCCTCCCTGTAGACAACCTCCACCTGTTGGTAGTCTACTCTGGAGTGGAAGTTGGGTAGGCGGCCTGTATTCGGATAGGCGGCCTTTATGCACCTGCATACTGTGGAAATTTCTATACTTCGATTACTAAACATGTTATTATTGTTCGCTATAAAAGTAGCTTTAAATTTACTTACTACTGTTAACTGTTCTACACTTACTGCTGTCCTGGATCCTGGATGTCAATTTGTGTTTTTGTTTTATTGGATAATAACTCTAGAATCGATATCGATAAAAAGTCACTTGTGCAATAATCTCACGAACAGAAAAAAATCTTTATCTTTTCTTATAGACTTTATTTAATCTATTACGAATATAAATAGTTATTAAATTTTCTATTTCACGCTATATCGCGAAAATTGATCAATTTCGTATCAGATTGAACGGAAAAATATACATTACAATCTCTGTAAAATAAGAGTAAAGTTCCGTATATTTTCCGGCAATTTTCGCTAATTCTGATGGCGTTGTGGCACGTTTATTTTTTCTATTTTTCGACCGTGATTGTAATTTCTCACAGTCGAGCGAGCGCTGACGCCGAGACCCCATATTGCATTATCATTATTTCCACTTGGAATTTATCCAATTTTTCCGGTGCCGCGGAAATTTGCCGCAAACCTTGTTTAACGGGCTTTTTTCGTTTCTGTTTTCCCCGTTCCTATTTTCCCTGATGAGATATTAACTAGATAATTGGCGAAATTAACTCTACGCTTTCCCTATAAAACCGGTTTTTAGATGAATGTTATTGAATAATTTACTTCTTCTAAAAGTATCATGAATTTTAATAATGCTCAAAGTATTGTTTTTTACTATTTAACTGGTATTTCTGGAAAATTTCTACCTGGTATAATGTAGAATGTTTGGGAGGGGGTTAATCACCGTGACCTTACAGACCTATTGTGTGTCCCACTTTCTTCAGTTATAACTCATACAGTCTCACGGCTTTGACAAAAGCCAGTATCTTTGACAAAAGCCAGTATCACAGAGGCTAGTTTACCATATCCGATATTAGCCGTACCAAAGATTATGGCACGAATTCGATGCACTCAGTGATGAGGTGTTTTGGTGTCTTCCCGTTTTTCCCACTGAATCTCCATTCACCGTTGTTTCTTTAGCTTTAATCTATTGTGGAGACAGTGCCTAGGAGACGGTCCAGGTTACGGATGGAGTCTTCCAGGTACTTGAGTTCCGCTTTAAGTTGGTTTCATCTTGGAAAGCAGAAATGTTCAGTTCTAGTTAGTGGAGTATTCGCTCCATTTCTAGCTAGATCGTTAGCTTTTTCATTGCTTTCTATACTTTGGTGAGCTGGAAACCAGAGTAGAGGGACTTCTTTCTTTGCCTAATTTGTTCAGCTTCTTTAGGCATTCTTTGATCTACTTCGAATTGATGGTTACTAAGTTGATCGCTTTTAGTGCTGCTTAACTGATAAGATGGCTATTTTGTGTTTTTGGTAGTTCCTATCTAAGGTAAATTGTACGCATCTTTCGGTGCCTATTAGTTCGGAGTATTTAGTTTTGCTTTGGTTTTGAAAGCATTATGGTAGTTTTATCATACCACTGGGGTTTGAGGAGTGGAATTTTCATGTTGAGGGTGTTCCAAGCCCCTGACCTGACAATTCTCCTAGTACTGTTTCCGTCAATGACCATTCTAATCATTATCGCATTGGCATATCTACCGACGACAATGTGCAGTGATTTTAGATCCAGAATGATCTCCATTGCTGCCGTTGGGCATGTTCTCATGGTACTTGTGATGGAGATGCATGACAAACTCTATACTTTGCAGAAATTTTGCCATGTTGTAAATTGCTACATACTTTGCCATTGAAAACAGCTTCTGAGTAGACGTTAACTTACAAACAAATTTTTCTAATAACAAAGATACTGGGCACTATTCAAAACATAATATTCTATAAAATAGACATAGAATCATTTAAAAGTTAAAAGACAAAGGTGTTTGATTTGGATAGTTATTTAGATTAATTTGATAGTTATACTAGACTGAAAGTATAACTTAATTGCATGGTTATTACCTTGCAAAATTTAAAATTCTTCATTCTAACGTATTCTTTAAACTTTCTACTGGTAATTTCTTAATAAAAAAAATCTTATGCAGATAAATTGTAGGTATATAATTAAGGAAGCTATGTGTTCAGTCAAAAAAACAAGTTTATTATGTAATTGACAAAATGGAGCTGTAAAATAAAACACTAATTTACCACCATACACCAAAACACTTTACTTTTGTACACGCTAACTAGTTTTAATCATATGCTGATGATGCTAATATAGTTAGCGAAACGCGCGTCTGGTGCAATTGTAAAGAATTTTGGTGTATTGTGATGGACTTCATTTATATGCCTTTCTGTTAAGTGTTTGTAGATAATTTCTGTTGATCTTGTGGTTAAATAATGTTTTGTCGTTTTAACGTGTTGTAAAGTGTGTTAATAATTATATTAGTTATTGAAGTTATAATATACTTAGTAACGAGTTTCTGCTAATGCAGTAATTTTAAAGCTAAGGAAAGAAACTATAGAAATAGTATTATTATTGGTTGTTCCTTATAATTTATAAAATTCAATTCTTATTATTAATAGTTATTTTTTATACAAGACGATAAAATGGTATTTTATCGTCGACCGAAAAGATTAATTTACGAGCGATGAAATCGCGAGTGAATTAATTTCGGGAAACGATAATGCAGTTTTATCGTCGTGTATAAAACAATATTTTTTTCCATAGCGAGTTACGTTTTAAAAAAAATTTGACAAATAAATAAAGCTGTCTCTTTAGTTGTGAGCAGGGGCGGGAAAGAGAAATAGCAAAAGCGGTTCCACCGTTTCCATGAAAGTTTCAAATAAAATTGTTCCAGCCTCAGGCGCTAGGTGGTAGTGCAATTAATTTTAGGTTAAGAAGTTGCTCCTCGTTATTGCCAGATAGCGCTAAATCAGAATTTTTTTGTAGTTTCCATAGTTTCCAACGGCCATTTTGTCATACTATTGTCAAATTCTCAAAAAATATTATCATTGTCATAGCGCCAATCATACTATTATCAAATAATTATCAAAACGTTTTTCAAACTATAATTTGTTATATGTGTTTTAATTAGACAATTCCTTTTGTTTGCGGCCCTAAATATAATGTAAGTCTTTTATTTTTGCTATCATTTAAGTACCTATTTATATTTACTCCATTTACAAAACTTTAGGCGTATTACGTTGGTCTTGTTTTATTATAATAAACAATGTTTAAATATTTGACTTATAAATAAAAACTTTAAATAATAAATAATATCTCACATGTTTGGCTTTAATTTTATTTAATAATTGTATAAATTATACTGTTAAATCTTATTTTTTACACATCACAACGATACTTGTTATTAGTATTGTTGAATTTGTGTAAAAAATAAGATTTAATAATGAAATTTAATTATTTTAGTGTAAAATTCAATAAATACGCTCATTTAAAAAGCCCGCGCTTCGATCCATTTAAAACAAGCCCTACTCTATAGATGGCGCCACTTCTGTAGGACCATTTTTCATTATGGCAGAGTCTATTCTTTTTCAAGCTAGGTATATTTTTTGGTTGTGAGTTTTGAGTCAATATTTTTTACATTCGCATTCGAAATCGGCGACGCCATCTATGCAGGTGCCGTTGTTACGACATGGACTTGGCGTACAGTCATCAGTATCTGTAATAAATTAATTGTGTGCTATTACCTCAAAACGACATAAATCATTAAAACAAAAAGAAAATAATTGAACTTTAGTTACATTTGTCTTTAACCTGAATTTTATTTAGCTTATAAAAATATTTGGACTATACGCAATTCAAAAAAGTCATTGAATTGTCCTTATATTATATGTAAATTGACTTAAAATGAAAATTCTAGGTCCTCAGTATCAACACCATATTCTCTTTATTACAAAATTGTGAAATTGTATTTTTTCATAATCTTGTTGGATATGATTATCAAGTTTTAATTGAAATATAAATATTAAATAATTTTCAAGTTTGGTCCTATACACCACTTTTTTGAAATCATGTATAGTCTTTATTCTATTGCCTCCTGATTCGACATACTAAAAATCTATATCTGAATTTAATGGTACTACTTACTTATACTACATAAAGCACCCTCCCAACCTTCATTGCATATACACTGAAAAGCATTCACTTTATCCACGCATGTACCACCATTTTCACAAGGGTTTACTTTGCAATCGTTGATATCTATAAAAAAAATGTCTTTTAATAAATATAATTTTACTAATAAGTTATTTTACTAAAACTTTGAGGCACAAAATCTGTACATACTTTCATGACAGTATTTTCCAGTGTAGCCTGGCTGACATTGGCATTTGTATCCTATTCCTGGTTGGTTGATGCAGTGACCGTGTTCACCACATAGGCTTGGAGCTGAACTTCTGCTTCCACCGACAGATACCACTACACAACTATCTATTCCTGAAACAAAAACGTATATAATTATTTTTTTTAATTCTTTTTCGTGTCGATTCTGTCGAATTTTTCTTTCGTGTCGATTGCTGATTGAATTGGAGCCAGAAATGGCTCAAAACGAAATAAGTAAATTACCAACAGATATTCAGGCTGAGGCGACAAACGCCATATTCAAACTACTTCCATTTAAATCCCGAATAACTTATGAAAAGGAATACAAAAATTTTCAAAAATGGAAGCAATTAAAAAACGTGCGAGAAGAAATAAAGTTTTTAACCTATTTAACCTGTTAAAGTATCATTTAATCTACCCTTGCGGTTAAAGTACTATTTTATCTACTATTTTTGATAGATATAAGGCAATTTTAACAGTTGCTATGGAAAAAAAAATATAAAATAACTATATTTAATTATCAGGAAATGTAATTTGAGCATTGCGTTGTGGTGAAACTTACATAAAAATGAAATAGTATATTTTATCATTGCCTAAAAAGGGTCCCAGTTTTATTTTTAAATAAACAATACTAATCAACTTTCAGTTTATGAGATATTGAAGGGAAAAAATAAGATATAATAAATAAAATTAAATAGAATTCAAAATCTTACTATTCCTGTCTGTTCAGAGATATAAACTTGATTTATTTTGCCTAATATGAAATACTGCAAATTTACAGTTTGTTTAAAAATGTACAAATTCTGTGTCTTGGAAACGAATACATTTCAGTGTTTCTTCGATTTTTCATCGCAGAGTATAATCTGAAAACGGTGGAAAATTTAAATTCACAACACGAAAAGGCCTGTGAAAAGAGGACTGGAAAATTACGTTTTTGTACTTTTGAAGATGCGTCCATGCGATTGTAAACGGTCTATTAGGAAATGAAAGATGAAGGAATGGTATGAATGAATTTCTGCTTTCTTGTACATTAACATGAAAGGAAATACTTTAATGTTTGCAGTTTTCTCTGCTATATTTAAGAAATTATTAAATTATTTTGATACTTTTTGGATATAATATACCGTAACATTTTATACATTATATTTTTATCTAATTTTGTTACGCACTTATTATTAGTATTTTCCTCTATCTTAGAGTTTGAGAAAATTGATGTTTTAAACTTTAATTATTATTTAGAGTAGTACTTTTTTTGGCGTTTAATATACACTAGAAGTTAGAATTTCAAGTTTAGAATTTTACTATTGGCTATCGGAGGAGCTCTACAATCATGACTTGAGTACAAAAAAGAAACTTGCAGTGTACCGAGCAATTATAATCCCCACCATGTTATATGGGAGCGAAACCTGGGTGCCGTACCGCCGACACATGAACGCATTTAACAAGTCGCAACTAAACCTACTAACCTTAGACAACTCTTAAGAATCCGGTGGTTCCATCATGTCTCAAACGCATCGGTCCTTGAAAAAGTTAACTGCGAGAGTATTGAAGTCATGGTTACAAAATCCCGCTTAAGATGGCCTGGTCACGTATGCAGAATACAAGAAAACCGCATACCAAAATCTCTGCTTTACGGTGAGCCTGTAGACGGTAAGAGGAGGCCGGGTGGACAACTGAAAAGGTACAAGGACATTTTCCACGAAAACTTAAAGGGGATTAACATGCAGAATGAGTGGGAAGAAGCAGTTCACAATAGAACTCAATGGAGAAGAATTGTAAACCAAAAGTTAACAGCGACAACCAAAAAGTAAAGAGGCAACAAAGCAAGTCACAGAAAAGCTCATGAAAGAAAACGCCTTGCATGACCATCTTCTGATGCGTGTCGTATACTCGTTAGCGAGTAATGGCAGTATGTATGTATGTTTAGTATACAAAGTTAGCTAAAGAGGATAGTGTGTGTTTACTGTTATGTTTATAATATCTTTTGTAAATATACTTATTAAGTTTGTTGTATTAGTAATGATTAAAATAAAAATGGGTAGAATTTATTTTTAAAATAAATTCAATTTTTTCAAAATTAATTAAAAGCAAAATATGTTTTAGCTAAATATTATTTCGCTTATTTCAATAGAATTTTTAGTTGAAATAAAAATATACAGGATGTTTCAAAAAACATGTGCTATCTCTCGTGGGGAGATTCTTCAGTTCCAAAAAAAAAGATTTATTTTTCATATCACCATAGATCCGATTCCGCTTTATTTCGTAGCTACAGGGTGTCAAAATCTTAATAATCTTCTTCGATTTGTCATAATCTTCTTCCAAGTATCTACTTTTAGTGTTTGGAATGAAATTTTTAAGACATATTTAAAGCTAAAAATGTGTCGACATATTCATTAGGGACGTGCATATGAGTTATCACTGGAATATGTTTCTAAAAAAAGCATGTACGCCACTGACTTTTTTTTCTCTTGTTAGCGAAATAGTGTAAGCAGTTTAATGCCGATTAAAAGTTGTCTCTTGATATTTTGACGATTTCGGCCTCCTTGGTGAGATAAACACAATATTATTAGGTTGCCTTGATCGAAGTCTAATGCAACCGTTAAAAAAATGTAATATCATTAACTTGCGAAAGTTTTAAATAAGTACTCATTGATTCCTCGTCAAAAAATATGAAAAAAAGTTTATATAAACATGGGTATGGAAATGCATAGTTTTAGAGTTGTTAGAGTTACAAGATGGTAAAATTTTATAAAATTTGTTTTTTTGTAATTATTTTAAATTCCATAATTTTTTATTTGAAATTGCTGTATGTTGGACATGGGGGATTGGTTCATCAGGTTCGTGCATATGGGTGATAACCCATGTACGTCCCTGATGATTTTATGGACACTTTTGACTGCGCTCTAGTTGCAAATACGTTACAACACACATACCTGGGCATACGAGACTTTGGGCCTTAAACAAACAAAAATCATGTGCACTCCCCCGGAAAATCATAACAGCGTTATAAAAATCGGAGAAGAACTATTGGAATATGTATCGGAATTTAATTACCTCGGCAGTTTGATTTCGGAAAAGGCAAATATCGACTCTGAAATTCAGCACAGAATCAGCAGCGCCTCAAGAGCATTCTGGAAATTAAAAGACAGGGTTTTCTACAATCATGACTTGAGCACAAAAACGAAACTTGCAGTGTATCGAGCAGTAATAATCCCCACCATGTTATATGGAAGCGAACCCTGGGTGCCGTACCGCCGGCACACGAGTGCATTAAACAAGTTGCAACAGAGACACCTTAGAAAACTTTTAAGAATCAAATGGTACCACCATGTCTCAAACGTATCAGTCCTTAAAAAAGCAAGCTGCGAGAGCGCTGAAGTCATGATTACTAAATCTCGCTTAAGATGGGCTGGCCACGTATGCAGGATGCAAGAAAGCCGCCTACCGAAATCTCTTCTTTACGGTGAACTTGTAGAAGGTAAGAGGAAATAGGGTGGACAACTCAAAAGATACAAGGATGTTGTTCATGAAAACTTAAGGGGGATAAGTATATGCAGCATCAGTGGGAGGAAGCAGCGCACAATAGAACGCAATGGAGGAGAATTGTAAATTCAGTTAATAGCGACAACCAAAAAGTAAAGAGGCAACAAAGTAATGAGATTTTTAAATGTCCGGAGTGCGGAAGAGAGATAACATCACGTATCGGGCTTTCCAGTCACAGAAAAGCTCATGACAGGAAACGCCTTGCGTAACCATCTTTTGATGCTTGTCAAATACTCGTCAGCGAGTAATGGCAGTAGAAGTAGAAGTAGTAGTAGTATGGACACTTTTTTACCAATAAAATATGTAGCACTTATAGTAACTTTTACCCTCAAAATTTCATTCAAATGACTAAAAGTATTTGGAAGGAAATTATAACAAATCGAAAGATTATTAAGATTTTGACACCCTGTAGCTAGGAAACAGAGCGAAATCGGATCTATGTTGATATGAAAAATAAATCTTATTTTTATCTGAGGAATCTCCCCACGAGAGATGCCACATGTTTTTTGAAACACCCTGTATATTTTGTTATTAGGTATGTTAAATTGATGCCATATCATTTTTAATGAATGACAATAATAGTAAAGCATTCTTCCTTGTGACATTTTGTCGGTTACTGCGAATACATTTGAAAAAAGTTTTAATACTGAACTGTTATCGATACATTTTATTTTTAAATAGATTACACCACCCTCGCTTCTTTTCAATCGAAATCAATTAGAAGTGATAGTTTCTTTACAAAATACCTGTTTTAGTCTTTGGGTTTACAAAATAAATAAGCTAATTTTTGCTTATTAGACAAATTTTCATAATTTTGTTGTATATGATTTACAAAATTTAATCTTTTAGTTACTAAATGTTTTGCTTATTTTAAAATTATAGTTTTGTATTTTACGGTATCACAAAAATTTAAAAATAAATATAAACTAATAGATTAGAAAATATATTCTTTTAAAAAATCCTTTAAATAAACATATCATTTTTTTCATGTAATAATATTTTGGCTCATTATTTGGAATATGCTCCATAAGACGTAAAAATAAAATAAATATGTGCAAATCTTTTTATATATTATAATATATCTTAATCCCAGAAACAAGTCTATGATTTTTTTTCGAAAAAAAAAATTAGATAAAAAATATAATTTATTCTATCTTTCCCTTTTTTGTCAAAAGCATTGTGTACCAAAAAATAATATTAGAAAAAAATGAACAAAATATATAGAGAAAGACAAACAAAAGAAATATGTAAAGATAAAATTCAAGACAGTCACAAACATAAAATTGTAAAAAAAGTAAAAAGATATAAACATAGTACAAAAATTAAATAATATCTCACCAAAAATTATTAGTCCGGAGTCCGGAAGAGAGATAACATCACGTATCGGGCTTTCCAGTCACAGAAAAGCTCATGACAGGAAACGCCTTGCGTAACCATCTTTTGATGCTTGTCAAATACTCGTCAGCGAGTAATGGCAGTAGAAGTAGAAGTAGTAGTAGTATGGACACTTTTTTACCAATAAAATATGTAGCACTTATAGTAATTTTTACCCTCAAAATTTCATTCAAATG